GAAGGCCACATGGAACACCTTAAGAAGCCTGATCCATTCTTCCTGCCTTGGCAGAACAGGTGCTTCTTTTCCCAGTTGATGCCACGTCAAGATGAAGGTCAACTGGTGAAGCAGTAGAGACCATGCTGTCAGCTCTCACAGAGCACAGTGCCATCTATCCAAGGACAGAAAACATTTTAAATTTATGTGGAGCCTACCCACGTGCTTCACTTCTCAAGTCTTGCCCACCATGCAAGGGACACTGGCAGACTTAGCACCTGGAGCCTCTGGTTCCTGGCTCTCAGTTCTCACTGTGCTGTGACTGAGCAATGATGAGTCTTTATTCACCCCATCTCAACACCTGCTTTGGAAGAACCTCTTCACCAGGGATGAGTCAGGATGTGGCATTTCCATCAGAGATCAGGGTTACAGAGGTCTTGCTTGTCTGGCTGTAGTGTGAATATGGGGTGTGCATCCTACAAGCATGGCCATAGCAGATCTTTTTCAGCCGTTTGCTGGTTTGTGCTCTTTGTGTCACTCTTACCTCCTCTCAGTATTCCCTTCAACTGTTGCAGTTATGGGAATATGGTCAAACCTCATACCCCCCAGCCTTAGTTTAACTCTGCTTTGGCAAAGGTATCACCAGCAACAGCTGTGAAGTTCTCTCCTGTTGTATACAACTGACTCCAGGGATGCTATCACCCATTTTTCTATGCTGTAGCCGTGGCTTCCCTCCTCCTTTTGTTTGCAAGTGGGACAGCTCTTTGGCCCAGCTGTAGATCTGTTCTGCCTGGATTGGCTCTGAGAAGTTCTCTCCTCTCCCTCCACACAGTGCGCTCTGGGACATTGAGACGGGGCAGCAGAAGACTGTGTTCCTGGGACACACCGGAGACTGTATGAGCTTGGCCGTCTCCCCAGACTTCAAACTCTTTATCTCTGGGGCTTGTGATGCTACTGCCAAACTCTGGGATGTGCGGGAGGCCTCCTGCCGTCAGACCTTCGGAGGACATGAGTCTGATATCAACGCCATCTCTGTATGTATGCTGTCTGCACAAGGGTGGGGAAGCACAGAAAATGGAGGGTGGACCAGCTCTGAAATAGAGTCTTGGGACAAGGCTGAAAAAAGCTGTCACAACTGAGTGGGTAACAAGGGTCTCAGGGGACCCTGGCCTCAACATCCAGCCTGAAGCAGGGAGGGCCTGTGTTCACTGAAGTTTGGAGGCTGGCTCTTTCCAGGCACCAAAGCACCTAGGTCTTTGACAGGCAGCACACCATGGTCTGTGGAGCTCAGCACCCTAACAGGTGCTGGTGCAGCCTTGCTCATAGCAGCTGTTGGGAACCGTGGTTCAGGCATGCTCCAGCATCCCTGGCACAAGACACACGTGAGGCAGTGGGAATACCTAAGTCAGGTGAGGGTCTTAGTCAGCTCCAGACAGAAGTGGTAGGAACTTGGGATCACAGGGAGATCTTCTGAAGATTAAATTTTCCTGAGAGGCAGCACAGACATCTGGGAGAAAGTATCCCCCTCAGAGGCAAGGATTCAAACCAGAGCCCTAGAGACAGCAAGGGCAAGAAACATGCCAGACTAATCCTTGTGGATAAGCAACGAGTCTGCCAGCTTTCTACAAAATCTGCTGCTTGAACCACCCTCCACTGACTTCAATTACAACCTTTCTCATCTGTCCCACTGCTACCTTACCAGCCACATGGTTTTCTGCCGTATCTGCTCCTTAGGAGCCCTTTCTTTGCTTCTTAGAACAAGGCCACAGAAAGGGAGCGTGTATGAGAAGGTTGGGGTATGAGGATCACACAGAGGAAGGCTCTCACAGCTCTGAATCATGCTAGACCCCAGCTGGGGGATAATGGGCGGACTTTAGTCGAGGCCCAAACTTACAGCTGGAGCTAAAGTAATCCTTCCTCAAGGACTGAGATGTCTTGCAATGGCTCTAGCCCCTAGGTCATTGGTTTTCTTGAGGTGGAAAGGGTTTATTAGGTCTTAGGAGAAGCATCAGTCTCTACCTTCAGCAGACTCAATTTTTATGATCCAGTGCCTTGTCCCACTGGGTTTTCATACCTCCATGGCTTCCTGGAGGTTAGCAGGGAGTTGAAGAGTTGAGGGGAAATCTGTCAGGATCCGAGGAAAACCTCACTAAAATCTGGTGTGTGCCCTCCCCAGTTCTTCCCTAACGGTGAAGCCATCTGCACTGGCTCAGATGATGCCACCTGCCGTCTCTTTGACCTCCGAGCGGACCAGGAGCTCATAGTGTACTCTCATGAGAGCATCATCTGTGGAATCACATCAGTCGCCCTCTCCCGCAGCGGGCGTCTCGTGCTTGCTGGGTATGATGACTTCAACTGCAACATCTGGGACTCCCTGAAAGCAGAGCGTGTGGGTGAGTGGTTCTTTCATTCCCCTCAAGGCCTCGTGTCCCTATCAAGGCCAGGAAAAGGCATTTATTTTTTCTAAAAGGAATACATCCTATACTGACCAAAACCCAATAAAGCTTCCTTAAGGAAGCACTAAGGAGCACACTATAACTAGTACAACTCTCAGTTGTGCAGAACTATTGTTTCTAATGTTAAGGAAGTCAAGACTTTAGGGGACATTGTTTCAAGAGAGAAAAGAAAGTTGCTATTAGTTAAAACCACTCACAACCACCAGCAGACCTTCCCGTTTTCTCCTAGCCTCTGCTGTTTGCCAGTTCCAGGTACTCACAGTGCCATTTGGTGGCCAGGCACCAAGCCAAGAGTGGACCAGGGTTTCCATTCAACATCTTTGGATATTCTCTGATGCTCATACACAGAATACACACCATTTTTCTTTCAATGTGGCCCCTACCCTCAGAAAATTCAGGAAACACAGCCTACCAACATCACTGCCATTTCTCAGCCTTATCAAGGACACCCTCCTATCTTGGTCCTACATTGCTCCAGGATGAAAGCAGTTGTATGAGGATTCAGCTGGCCATACTTGCCCAAGAACACTGCTCTTCAGCCAGTCCCATGGGTTGTGCTTGTAGGCCATGCACAGAAGTTCTTCTGCATGTTTGCTCTTATTAGACAGATATCAATTTTAACACATTGTGCAGGATCAGGGTGACACACAAGGGTGTAGGTACACAGCCCACAATGTGTGTCCTCTGCGTAGTCAACCCCGTCACAAGCCTCACTTCCTTCTCTGACCTCTCCTTTCTCCCCCACAGGTATCCTTTCTGGCCATGATAACAGAGTGAGCTGCCTGGGGGTGACAGCAGACGGCATGGCTGTTGCCACTGGCTCCTGGGACAGCTTCCTCAAGATTTGGAACTGAGGATGGCAGCAGAGAGGGGAAGAGAAGTGGAAGCACGGCCCACAGCCCTGAGCCCATGCAAGCAGCATCGTCAGATGAGCACAACAGAAATGCCTACCTACCACTCCCGCTTGTCTCTAGACACAGGTCACTTGTAGGAGTCTCCCAGAGCCAAAGGGCAAGGAGAGGTCAAGGAGAAGCAGGGAAAGCTGGGGAACAGGAGCACACACGCTGGCCCTTCACCTCTAAATAGCCCCAGCAGTTTCCAGCCTTGCACAGGCTGGAAGAGTTGCAAAACACTGTTCTTTACATCTCAGGACTTTACAGTACAATTCAGACAACCTGCATCTTCCTTCAAACACCTCTACCCACACTGACACTGATCCTCCTCCTTCAGAGGACCCCTCATCCAACACCTGCCCCCAACTATGATCTCTCCCTGATTTAACTCTACCTAGCTTCTCTGTGCAGCTGTCCTATATCCCTGCAGACAGGCACAGAGAGGTACTGGGTTTGAGATTTCTATCGCACCACCTCAAACTAAAAAATAATGTAAATTTGGCTCATTTCCATTGAGGAAGACTTAGCTCAAGTCTTATCTATGCATAAACGAGAAAAAGGTGGTCTTCAGACCTTCCAGAATACCACAGAATATATTTATTCTTTTCTTAGATCAAGTCTTATCTATGCATCAATGGCAGAAAGGTAGCCCTCAGACCTGCCAGAATATCAGGGAATACTGTATTTATTATTTATTGTCTGCTTCTTGCTGTACCTTCCCCTCTTGCCTCACTCCTGCATTGTGTGGTGACACTGCCTAACCAGTAGCCATTGGCCCCTGTTTTCAAGTTTGTTTAGATCTTCATAGCCCAGGCAAATAAAGAAAGCTCACACAAGCACTGCAGGCTGTGTTCTTTCCAGCATCGCAATGAGCTACTGCAAACACAACTCCCCTCCTATGAATATTGCCTGCTGATCCCATCCAAACACCTCATCCACAGATCTTACTCTAGCTCGCAATCCCTCGGAGGAGGGTGTTCCTCACCTGTTTTAGTTAAGAGGCTGGAATTAGGATGGAGAGCTGAAAATGCATCCTTGCAAACCTTGGAGATTTAAGCTCAGTTACAAGACACAGACATTTTATTCAACCCCTATTCCACTTGTTGGCTCATAACAACATCCTGGGGTCCCAAGGCTCTGCTAGGGAGAGCTGAAGGTCAGCAAGGTTTAGCGACTTATCAACAGAAGTTCAGCATTAGCTCACACTATCCCATGCTACTTTGGATCTCACCTTCATGCCAGACCCTTGCAATAGTCTACAATCCTTTGTATACGTTAGTTTTAGCCAATATAGGCACAGTTTAACTTCAGAAGCAATACCAGATGTATGGTCTCCTGCACGGAGCTGCAGCTTCCTGGCCCTTGGTATAGCACGTGGGTTCAAGGCCAGACCCTTCAGCATGTTACAGTTTTTAAGGCTAATGGGAAACTGAACTGTTTGTTCCCAAACACTCGTCCCCAAAGAAAATATTGTGCTGGGCAAGCAGGAGATTCCTGCTGTCCTATCAGGACATACAGTCAGCAGAGGCTTCACACAAATTTATTTACTACAGATAAAAACTCAACAGAAAAATCAATACAGCAATGTACAATAGAAGAGCCAAAGTCTGTGCTGTACATAAGACATGGCAAATTAGAAGGGGGATAAAAGAGAGAGTGATCTTTCCCCACAGGGATAGACAAGAGGTGTGATCACTGCTCTAGAATTTCAGTCTATTGCAGGATTCCCCCCCCTAGAAAATTCAAATAAAAGCAAGATCCTAAAAAGGGAAATCTCTAGTTCTCCACAAAAGGACACTGTTGGTTCTCTTTGTTCAAGTCATTCCAAGCACAGCTCCCAGATTTAAGGCTCTTGCTCAGGTCCACTGTCACTTCCTTCTTTTCCCCAAGGTTCTCTCCAAACACGTGCTTCTTGCCCTAGGAAATAAAAAACCCAAACAAAGTGTAAAACACAGATTAATTGACAGTTAGGTAATTCTCAGTGGAACATGTAGCCTATTTTCAGGTGATTCAGCTTTGGCTCTCTTGTAACAATATACAAAAGTGATGGACTTCTTTCTACAGTCTAAAGAGAAAGAATGCCCTGAAATGGGCAATACCATGTTAACACTTAAGACAGACATTAAACAAGACTTGTAGGCACTTGAGGGCAGGGCTGACCCACAGAAAAATATTTAAGTCACTAGGTTCTACAGGCCTAGGAGACCACAGTTCCAAACTGGAGCCCTACAACACACAGAAACTGAAGGCTTTGGCTTTTTTCAGCCCATTCTCCATCCCACAATATGACTCATTAAGCTTTACCTGGCGAGGGGCAGGAGTACTGGGAGAATTATCATCTCGTAGAATGCTGAGGGGAGAGCGGCCAGTTCCTCCAGATGTTACCATGATTTTGTTGTTGGGCTTGTGTCTTACAGGCTTGCTCACTAGTTGACAGAAGGAAACACATCAGTGCATCACAACAAGGATAGAAGGTCCTAGATTTTAAATGCCTCCTGGCCTTTATGATCTAGCTTGCTTGCCTGTACAGCAAAGACTTACCTGAGGAATTCCAGGCAAAGGGATTACAGGAAGGTTGATGTTGGAAGGGAACTCAAAGGACCTGCTCCAGCAGGGCTGCCTAGAGCCAGTTGCCCAGGACCATGTCCAGCTGGTTTTTGAATATCTCAAATGGAGATTCTGCAGCCTCTCTGAGCAACCTGCTCCAGTGCTCAGTCACCCTCTCAGTGAAAAAAACTGTATCCTGATGCTCAAAAGCTTCCCGTGTTCCATTTTCTCCCTGTCACTTCTAGTCCCACCACTGAAAGGTGCCTGGCTCTCCCTTATACTCCCCCTTCAGATATTTATATGTGTACTATAAGATAACCCCTGAGCCTTTTCTACCCCAGGTAGAAACAGTCCCAGCTCTCAGCCTCTCCTCCTAGGAGAGATGCTCAGCACAGAGCTTTCTGAAGCACAAACTATATCACAGACTCAGCCATAGCACTGTGACGTGCTTCCCACCCTTGCTCCCTAGCTCTTCCTCAGGGAAAGCTGAAAAGGTTTGTCTAAACAGGTCTCCACAATCACAAACCCACCTCAGAGAGGGGAGCAGGTTACATATACCTCTTGGTTTTGACTACAGATTGAAAACTCTTCAAAGAAACAGGTTCGATAACCCAACAGTTCCCAAAGGGGCGTCCCAGCTGCAGAGCCCCCAGGCCAGGCTGCCCAGGGTGGTGGGACACAGCCGAACCAGGGAATGAGGACAACACTTCTGTCAGGGGGCAAAGCCTGGGGAAGGCACTCGATCCCGAGAGTGCCGAGAGCCCCGACTTGCTCACACCGAGGCCTGGGCAGCTCTCGGGGCACACGGAGCCCTGTCACCGCCCCACCGAGCACTTACCGGAGGACAGGCCGTGCCCAGCGGGACGGGCGGGCCGAGCAGGGCCGGTGCTGGGGGAGAGCGGCCCCTCCAGCTCCCCCACGGCGGGCGGGGCGCTCCGCCGGGCCGGCTCCTCGGCGGTATCGGCCGCTCCCGGCGGCGCCGGCTCCGGGGCCGCTGCCTCGGCCCCAAAGGCCTCGCTGAGCTGCTTCACCAGGCGGTCCACGCTGTCTGCCGGGGGCGGAGGGGGGCGGGATGAGCCGCCGGGCCGGGCAGCCCCCACCCCGCGCACCCCCGCGCCCGCCTCACTCACCACTCGACACGGCTCTCATGGGCGTGCGGGAGATGCCGGGCGTGGGCGAGCGCGGGTCCCGCTCCTGGACCGCGGCCGCCGGCGGCTCGGCGGGGCTGGGCTGCGGGCTGCCCGCCGGGGAGCTCACCACCTGCGGAGAGGACAGCCATGGGGGCGGCGGGCCGCTGCCGACCGGGGCGGGGCGGGGCGGTGGCGGCCGAGAGATCCCGTACCTCGATGGGTGTGCGCAGGATGCCGGCGGTGGGGGAGCGGGGGTCGCTGACGTGCGCCAGGTGCTTGTTGCGGGGCGCGGCGGGGGTGGCGGGGGCGCTGCCCGCGGCGCCCATGGCGGTGATGGCCGCGCTGCTCCGGGCCGGCCCGTTCGAATCTCCCGCGCGCCGGCCGGCGCCGCTGCCCATTGGCCCTCGGGCGGGGGCGGGGCCGAACGTGCCCCGCCTATAGCCCCGCCCCCTCCGCCCTCCGGCCCCGCCGTCTTCGCCCGTCACGTCCCGCCTCGCCTCGCTGTCAATCTTCGGCTACTGACCCGCCCCCCACGCCCTGCTCTGCATCGTAATTGGCCAAGATGCCCGGCACCGCCCCTGTGACGACACCAGGTTGGCTACGATTGGCCGAGTCGGCCCGTCGGCGCCACCAGCCCGGCCCTCAGCCTCACTGCTGATTGGCCAGAACCCGCCTGGCCGCGCCGGGCTGCGATTGGGTGGGGCGGGGCTGTGGGCGGTGCCGCAGTGAGCCGCTGTCATGGCGGAGCTGAGCGAGGCGCTGCTGTCGGTGTTGCCGTCCATCCGGGTGCCCAAGGCTGGCGACCGCGTCCACAAGGACGAGTGCGCCTTCTCCTTCGACACGCCGGTAAGCGCGCCCCGCCTCCTGCCCGCCCGCCCGCCCGCTCGGGCTACTCCCGCTGCGGCCGGCTCACACCCTGCCGCCCGCCCGGGCGCCGCCCGCGCGGGACCTCACGGGACTTGTGGTTCCCCGGCGGCCGCGGCGGCCGCACCGGGGCGGCGCACAAGGCTCTCGCGGACTACAACGCCCGGCGTGCCCCGTGGCGCGCCCCGCCCGCCCGCGGCGCGCTGGGGGCTGTAGTTCTGTGGCCGGGGCGGGCGTGGGCAGGGAGCTTTCCCGACCAGCCGCGGCCCGACCCGGCCGGCCCTGGAGAGCGGGTGCCCCCGGCCCGAACCCGCCACCGCGGGGTCTCCCTGAGCACTTGCGCTCCGGCGATGGGCGGGCGGTCGGGGCGCGCCCCTGGCCCGCCATTGGCGGCGGGGGGCGGGCCGGGGGTCCCACCCTGTCCGCATCTGAGCTCCCCCCACGGTCTCACCGCGCGGTGTGGCCCGGCAGGCGGGGGGCGAGGCCGTGCTGTGTCATTAAGATGGCAGTGGTCCCTTCTCCAGCCGTCTCCACCCCGCCGGCATCCCTGCGCCTCTTGCGCTACCCACGCCCGGCCTAGGCGGACCCGGGGAGGCGCAGGCGGCCGGAGAGCGAGGTACCCCGTTGGGCTTCTTCGTGGGTGCTCGTTCGGGCTGAGCCCCAGCCTGCCAGAAGTGGGCTGTAACTGGAGGATACGGGTCCTTCGAGGAAGCGGCACATGGCATCCTGGCCCTCTTCCCCTCCCCGAGCCCTACAGTGATGCCTCACCACTCTGACCACTCTGTCTCAGCTGCTGCTGAGACCTTAGTGGTTTCACTCTTTCCAGCCTCTGCGTTTGTGTCTCTCACCCCTTCAATTTAAAAAGGGTATCTCTGCTGAACGAGTGTGGTGTTTTCCAGCTGCTGGTGGGATAGTGGGGCTCATTCTGTATGTGTTTCAGAGCCGCCCACAAGCTTTTGAACCCAATAGCAAAAGTAAACAGTGGTCTGTTAACCTTACTCACACTGTAGCTTGGCAGCATTCCCTGTGGCACTGGGAATCGTGCTCTTGGACAGGGTGCCACAGTTTTGCTGGTAATGATTGTACTGTGCTCTGAACTTGTGAACTGTGAGTGCTAAGGGCCTTTTGCAAGATAAAATCCTGGAGAAGCTCAGGCTTTCCTGGTTCAGTAGCATCCTGCCATAAGTGAACAGTCAAATAGTTTTTTTAATATGTCATCATGACAGGAGTGCCTGTTGTGGGACAGCCAGGCAGGGGCTTGTCATCCTATTTCTGACTCGCTGCTAAGTGGCTGGTATGTAGGAATGAGCTGTTGCCAAGATTTACTGAATAATGACTAGTCTTCCATGCCTATCCTAGCAGCTGGAATAGTATTCGTTCCCATCTCCCTTCAGTCTTATTCCTCCTTCCTTCCAGGAGTCAGATGGCGGTTTGTATATCTGCATGAACACGTTCCTGGGCTTTGGGAAGCAGTATGTGGAAAAGCACTATCAGAAAACAGGCCAGCGGGTCTACCTGCACCTCAAAAGAACACGTAAACCGGTAAAAAATAAAAATACGTTTGCTCAAACTTGTTCTGAAATTGAGAGCTGTGCTGTGTCTCTGTATTCGACCAGATACAGTTTATTCTCCTCAGACACAACTGGTATTTTTCCTGGTGAATTGAGGGACACCAGTCCTTTAGCTCTGCTAATGTTGCGTTGTTGTATCGATTGCCCGTGCTATTTCAGCCCAGTTTCCTTCTGTTCTCAAGTGTGGCTTAATTTCAGTCCTTAAGGCCTGCCACAGCTTGCCCGTCCCCCTAATTCTACTTCTGTATTTCTTGTCAATGCCATAGAAGGAAGAAGACACCAATTCCAGCGCTGGGGACCCCCCAAGGAAGAAACCAACTCGTTTGGCTATTGGTAAGGAAGTACTTGTGCACCATAAGGTCCTTATTGTTTTGAGATGGTTCTCTGGAGCTGCCTGGCTTGTCTCTTTTGCCTTTACTCTTCTGGGCTAATATGCCTGGCCAAAGAAAGACTTCACGTTTTCTAGTGTGTCTCAGGTGAGCAGTTTCTGCAGAACAGTCATTGGGGTGGTAGTTGTGTTCTGTGTCCAAAGTTGCAACGTGTTTTCTGTGGATAAATACGTTTTGTATCCTCTCTGCATGCCTGGCTCAGCTTGGTGTGGTTAGATTGTGGGAGTTGGGATTGTTGCTTAAACACAGTGTGCCCAGTGTGGGGCTGAAGGAAGTCTGACAAAATATATAAATCTGAGAAAAGTAAGTTGGAAGCTTCTGACAGATAAACTATTTTGTAACCTTCTCAGATACTGAGCTAGTGCTGTTGGTATAAATGGGAAAGAAATTAATGGTAAATGCCGTATTAACGTTTTTGGCTCAGTAGGTCTTTGAAATACAAGGCTGATGCTGGAGGAAATACGTGTGAACATTAAAATATTAAAAACAGGCCTCTTTTTTCTGAAGAACAGGGCTGGTGTTCCATTATGCTCTTGCACCAACTAAAAAGGCTGTCATGGCAATCAGTGGAGATTCTGCTTATTTGGAGCAGTCTCGGCTCGTAATTTCTGAGCCATTATGGAGACACATAAAACAGGAGACAGGAACGTTTGTAGCAGTAACAGGTTCTTGGCTTTCTGGAAGCTGGCCACTAGAGGGAAATCCAGAACCTGGACTGTGAACATCTTGCTTTTGGCTCACTTTTTCCACTGCTGCCAGAGCACAAACACTGCTATTAAGGCTGTCATCTGTTTGGATGGTGAGCTGAATGGAGTCCCAAAGATCACTTCTAGCAAAATTGAGACTAGAACCTATGTTTCTCCAGGTATCTACTGCTTTTATTGATATGATTATGCTGCTTTTGGAGAGATGAGGCCCAGTCTGCATTATGAGTTACTTCTGCATCCTGAATCCTACAAAATCTTGAGACTGGTGTTGTCAGTGGGTTGGCAAATATCTGCCTGTGATAACAGCTTAGCGGTGTGAATGGATCAGGAGAGAATAAAAGAAAGTATTAGCCCTGTGAGACAGTAGTCTTAAGTTCAGGAGAGATTTTTTTAATCTTTATTTTAGCTGAACCATGGTGGTTTAGCTAATCCTGACACAGGAGATTTTTTTGAAATACTAGAAAGATTTAGGAGCAAAATGTCATTAGCTGCAAAATGTAGCCCTTGATCTCTCTGCACATCATTCTCCCCTCTCCATGGGGAAAAAAAAAAAACCTACAGTGCTTGCCTCCTGTGCCTGCGTGTTGGTTGAATGACTTTGGTAGTCTGTGGTGTGTAGATACCATGGAAAGGGCACAGTGTGCCTCGTGGCAAGGTGTTGGCTATAAGCGGGGAGGAAAGAGCTAGGAGTCAGCCTGCTGGCTGAAGACACTCTTCCTCATCTGGAGCCTCAGAAGGTTCACATAACCACTGAGGGGACCTCACCAGTCTGGTTTAGTTTGTTTAGAGTTCGGGAATCATGTAATGCCCTGGGGGATTGTGTGTCGCTTTACTCTGTGAAGTGGTGACAGGAAATCTCTCTGGGCTGTGCCGAAGAGGCACGGAAGAGGATTATCTGGGTATGTTGTTGCATGATGCTGGGGACTGTTTTCAGGTATTTCTAAAATTACCATATTCATACGCAGCAGTTTGTGCATAGGGTAAAAATTGTAGGTATCTAAGGAGGGAGTTGCAGAAGATCTCGTGGGACCAGGTGTTTTTGTCAATAATGTTTTAAGGAAATGCAGTAGTGGTTATCAGAAGTGTGTCACACACGGGATTCTTGAGGCAGAGACACTGAACAGCAAAAGCTTGTATTCCCTGCAGAGATTTGTTGCAGTCACAGATGTTCATAGATCTGTTGCAGAGATTATTGCAGTCACAGCATGCAGTTTTTCAAGAAATAAAGGAAATTCGGTTTAAAAAATCAGGAGGTTGAGGCTGCTAATGAATCCTGTCTGTCTTGCCTGTTTCCTTCTGGGATGTAGCATATGAACACCTGGAGAACAGGAGAGGCCAAGCTTTTCCCCTGAGTACCTACATAATTCAGAAACTGTTCCCTGCTGTAGATGAGGGAATATGCAGAAACTACAGATGTTTTAGGCAAGCATCCATCATGAATATTGACAGCTGGCAAATAACGTTTTATGTAGGGATCTCCCATTTCTGTTTCAACCCCTGAAAAGCAAGGCTAAGTGTGCCTGAGAAACTACTAGCACTATACCTTTCCTAAGATTTTCTGCAATTCTGGATGTTCCAGGGGAGCTCCTGGTTCTTCTTGCTAGAGTTCAGGACTCTGAACCATCCTTTCTGGAAAAGGCAAGAAACAGAGGCATGCTCCTTAAACATGCTGGCAGAGCTGACCTGTGATTGGGCTACAAGATGATCTCTTCATGCACGTCTCCATTCACCATCTGGAGTATTCTGGTTAAGGATGAACGCCAGTGCTTTATCTTGGCTCTGTTCTAGAGCAAGT